GATGTTCACAGACAGGGCCTTGAAAGCATCTCTTCCTCTGTCTGATAGGAGAGTCTCGTCTGGATAACGAGGACGTGGCAGCCCTGGAACTGTCTCGCAGGTGAGTCTTAACTCACACACTGCCCTAACTTATTGTCGATGTCTTCATTTATTTGCTTGTGTGTTTGTTGTGTGATTAATCATGGTGGAAAAGAATATCTCTAATATTCAGAATCGTCTCATTTGTTATATTGTAAGGGTACTGGGATACTAGCTGCAACGAAAACAAAGAGCCCTGCGCCTAATCATTTTTGAAACTTCATTTGAAGAAGGTGCTTGACAGTCATTTCTCAAAGTCTGTGAGATGTGTTTGACCAGTTTTGCATCTTTCTCTGAGCCAGTTCTGTGTTTCTGAAGGTCGAACTGCACAATGTAACCATTAGAGATTTCAGGGTCATTAGCTGTGCTGTTTTGGCGTTTGTCCCATGACCCTTTTTTAAAGAACACCCCCACCCCCACCCCCAGCCAATTGCCTTATGACCCCGAGCGGTGTGTGTTGTTGATTTTGAATAGTGTCCTGCTGCTGACCTAATTTCCTCTGTGACAGCCAAAACATTAAGGTTACTCTGCCCCCCCAACTGGGTCACCGGTGTCTCTGCAAATAAGAGACAAACACACAAACCACATGTTCATTCATCTATTCACAATTATTCAAGCTTTATCACCCAGAATACAAATCAAGCTTAGCACCAATATGACTATAGTAACATTTTTGGAATTGGAATTGATCATAGCATCGGCCATTTAAAAATAGCTTCATTATTTTGATGTATTGACAGAAACATTGACTTTGAAGCTACATGATGACATGCACACTTTAATTTTCCAACAGCTCCTGTGTCTTAACCCTTTAATGGGACATTAATTATACCTGTGATACACCCATATTAGACCCTTGTAACAGCAATATTTCACCATAAGTAAACTGCTATTACTCCCATATTACACTGTTATTACACCTATTACAGATGAATACACCCATGTTACACCTGCATTACATCCATGGAACACCAATATGACACATTGCCTGCCAATAGGTTAGGATAATAAAGTGGTTAATACTAGTGACATGAATGAATCTACGTTATGTGTGATGTGGGTAGTGTTGGGCAGCTCCAGCAGGGATCACTGCTCTCTGAGCAGAGCATAGCAGATCCTCCTGACAGCACGGCTCGAGTCCAGCAGGAGATAGAGACCCTGCGTCTGGAGCTAGAGGGGGACAGAGAGCTGCTGCAGCTGCACGGCCGCCTCCTCGTCCAGCAGAACCTATCGCTGGCTGAAAGCACCCGGGAACAGCTGGACCTGTGAGAGGGTTTGATCCTGACAGACAGCATGACGTGTGCTGTGAACCCATTTCCATCCATCAAGCTGTGTGTTTCTGACCTTTAGTCATGAGTCTCTTTTTTTGGGTGCTGTTCCTCACGATGTGTGATTATCCTCACTGTGTTGTTTTGCTCTCCAACGCCCAGCAGAGATGATGTAATGGATCAAATCCAGCTGTTCATTCCTTTCCAGAACAAGTCATGACATCATTTTTTCCCCATCTCCTTCCAGGTTGGCGAAAGAGCTGCAGGAGAAGAACCGTCTGATCCAGAGTCTGCAGAGCCAGGTCAGAGGTCGAAGTCCCAGCAGCCACCAGGGCTCTCACTCTGACCTGTTCCACTCAGACAGAACCTCCTCCTGCCACAGCAGCCCGACTACACCCAGTGGCAGTCAGTCCCAAAGTAAGCCTGAAGAGAATGTTCAGATAAGCTGCAGATGTAAATCTCAAACATACTCATCATTCAATTCTTTATTTCTGATTACAGTCACAAGCCCAGATTAACTCGGTTACTTCCCTTCATCTTTTTTCATCCTTTTAAATACATATTAGTTTAAACCTTCTAACCAATTTCACTTCTGTATTTATGTATTTATTAGTGCATAGTACATTTTAGGGGGATTTTAATTTTCACATTTTTGTTATGTGAATGATTAGCACGACATTGATTTGACCAACAACAATAACTCTAGTGGGAACCACTACTTTAATGTAAAGCTATATATATAGAGAATATATAATAAAATTCATTATTTAAACCTGTAATTGTAATGAGATAAAGAATTGGGGTTTGATTGTCTGTTTTTTTGTCCTTAAAGAACTGCGCTTCTGTATTGTCCATACAAAGTTATTTATATAACTATACTTCCAGGAGCTGAAATTGAACTTAGAAAAATCTCACTCCTGCCAGCATGGATGCCATACAGCATGCCGACCAAAGGCAGAGCAGGTGTCCAGTTTCATTCCACTTAAAGTTGCATTATTCAGTGCCACCTATCCGGTTCAATCGTCAAACTGTGTTTCCCCTTGGGAAAAGAGACAGTGAAGGCTAACGCAGAGACAAGTGAAGCCTGAGGAGAGAAGTCTCAGAGGGTCTTTGTTCTGCTAACATGGAGTATAATAAGAAGATGACATTTTGGTTTAAAAGCACATATAGAAGGTGCAACATTACTCTTTATTCATTTTTGGATTTAATAAGGAATGATATGAGGGGCCAGAAAGGGCTTTCTCATACATATGTAAAAAAAAAAAGACACACAAAAAGGAATTACAATCTATTTTTAAGTTGTAATTATTAATTGACCACCTCTATGTGTTTAGGCCAGAGGCAGCTCTCTGATTGGACGGGAGCAGCTGTTGTAGGCGGAGCTCAGGAGGACGCTGTCAGCAGACTGCAGGGCCTGCACAGGGAGAACGTGCGACTGCAGGATCGGCTGAGGGGCAGCGAGGATCTGAACGCCACGCTGCGCAGTGAACTGGACCTGCATCGCTCCATCATGGCCCAGAGCAGATCCCACCACCAGGAGCCGGATCACAGCCGGGAACCGGATCACAGCCGGGAACCGGATCACAGCCAGGAACCGGATCAGAAACAGGAACTGGATCAGAGCCAGGAACCGGATCAGAGCCAGGAACCGGATCACAGCCAGGAACCGGATCAGAGCCAGGAACCGGATCACAGCCAGGAGCGGGACAGGTCAGGACCGAAGGCAGACCCTAAACCAGGAGAAGACCTGGGCTCACAGAGGAACGCTGCTGATCAGCCTCGCACCATGAATTCAGGTAAACATGGGGTCATGTCAGATCGTTAGACTTTCTATTTTCTTATAATTATCTATTTACACAACCATAGTGGGGTCAAATTCAAAAGCAACACTTGTTGTCTTTTATTACAGTGTTTCAGTGTTCATGATATTTAAAGACACATTGTGTTTTGGGCTTTGTAGTTTTATGGTTTTGTAACATCTTGGGATTTGGTTGTTATTAAACGTGCATAATTATAATACTGGATGGAGTTTTCCTTCACTTGAGTTTTAAAAACAAATGAATGATGTCATTGGTGGGAGAGATTCTCAAAGCCTGTACATTAAATGAATTTTTACCAGAAAGTCAGGATAAGTTGGGCTAAAAACAAGCATTCGACTGGTTTGGTCTCCTTTTCAACCGGGGCCCCTGCAAAAGGGATCATATACCCGGTATGCTATGACTGAAGATAGGCACAAGATGAATACATGACTGTTGTTACCATCTTGACTAGGGATGGGTATCGTTAAGGTTTTAACGGTACTACTACTTTTATCGATACCGCTTATCGGTCCCGTCTTTTAACGGTACTCTTATCGGTTCTTTTGGAGAAAAAAATAAGGTAAACTAACTAAACAAATTGTGAACAAAACTAACATTGCGTTATATTTAAATTAAATGCATAATATTTCACATCAAAAGAAACAACAATGTTTTAACTGCCAAGGCACAC